AATCATTAGAAGATCCGCCTCAGATATGGCAACAGTATTCCATACAAGGCCGGATTTAAAATTTATAGAGGTAGATAATAGAATCCCAAGTTAAAAAGTGTTGAGCTTGATAAAGTGATGCAACCTTAGCAGATCTTAGAAAAAGAAAAGTAGATGGCTCATTGAGTACATTACCATTCATAAATATAGGAAGATCTAAATTGTTGCGATATCTATTGGCTGAAAAAAATTGAGTTTATTTGAATTAAAGTATTTTATCTTAAAATATTGGTTAAAGTCTCGTTCAATTCTTCTGGTTTCAATACTTTCTAACCTTAAGCTTAATAAATGTTTTTTATAAGACCTGGTACAAGGCAGGGTTGGCAAAAACCCGTGTTTTTTTAAAAAAACCCGGCCCAGTGGGTTTTTTTGGGTTTTATTGGGTAAATTTGGGTAAATTTGGGGTTTTTTGGGTATAATTTTTATTTTGTCTCTGTAAAAAAAAATTTTGTGTTTTTGTTTATTGATATTGAAAATTAGTTTTTTTCTACTTTAACTTTATTTAAAATATATTTAATATATTGTTGTTTAATTATTTATAACAAGAATTTTTCAAATTATTTTGAAAAAGATTTTTTAATATAATTTAAAACTGTAATAGGAAAAATAAATTTCACGCTTAATCTATATGTATTGATTTATTTTAAATTTAAAAGTATTATTTTATATAATTAAAAATGTCAATGAGAAAATGTGAGAAAGAAGGCTTGAGAATGGGAGGTAGTAACTGAAGTTTCAATTAAACTTTGAACTTGAAATTCAAATGAACAAACTTGTTCCTCTGCGCAGTGGCCTTGTTTATAAAGATTCGTGTTTAGGAGTTAAAGAGTTTTTTTTCTTCTTTAAATCAATTCACCTCCTCAAAGCTTATGGTCACTACAGGCGAGGAGGCTACTTATTTGTGGTTATAACCCTCTCTCAACTCTATAACTCCGAAACATGAACCTTGACGAACAAGGCCGCTGCGCGGAGAAAGGAGTTGAGCGCGGTATTGCCAGGGACGTGGTGGGGATCAAACTCGGAACCTCTCACTTATGAATTGAGCGCTCTACCACAACACCACTACCGCAAAAGAGTTGAGAGAGGGTTGTAACCACAACAAGGTAGCCTCCTCGACTGTTGTGTTGGCTTCTCTGGTCACTACTACTCATTTAAATTCAACTTGGGAGGTGAACAACATTATGTAATAAAAATCTCAATCGATAAAAATATTTGAATAAAAATTGTAATAATGTATTTCCAAATAATGATTCAAATAATAGTAAACCTGCTCTGATAGCTGTTATTGTTGGTTATAGTAGTTAATAATAATAGTTAATAATAATTAAGTTAATAAAAATAATTAATAATTATTTTAGTAAATAATATTATAGTTATAATGTTAAAGTTGGTTATAATAGTTCATAAACTTATTAAATATCTTTAAAAAAACCCAATAAAACCCAGATTTTCCAGGGTTTTATTGGGTTTTTTTAGGCGGGTTTTTTTGGGTTTTATTGGGCGGGTTTTTTTGGGCGGGTTTTTTAATGCCAACCCTGGTACAAGGTGAACTTTTTGAAATTTTTTGTTTCATCTTTTGAATGTATATTATAAGTTACATTGTTTTAATCAAATGTTTAATAAGTTAATTTTGTTGAAATATTTTTTACCATGGGATTCCAAAAATGTTAAAATTTAAATCATCTGCCTACCTTCAAGAAAGAAAATCAATTTTGAAAATTTCCTTTATTGCACAAATATGTGAAATGACAGCATGCCCAAAGTTTTGCATTTTTACATTATTCATAATGAAATAATACAAGTAACATATTTAAAAATACTTTAATTCTACATGACTTGACACGGAAACTTCATTTTAGAATTCTTTTCTCCTTAAAAGATTTTCAAATTTTATGAAACATTTTTTCTCTAATGCTGATTATTCTTAGGTAATTCCTTGCATTGGCTGAAGCTCACATCGAAAGTTCTTGCTGTTGAAATCAACAAGACACATAAGAAGTCTTTTTTCATATTCTGGATGAATTATTGGGTGTTTGTATCTTTCCCAATGTAAATTAAAATAGTGGTGCATTGCTTCTGTTGTTTGTTTGCTATAGATTCAAAGTGGCATCTTTTTCTGTTTGAAAAAGTCTTTAACATGAAAAAAATACTGCATGAACTTTTGTGATTGCCCATTGGAACTGTGTGACACTTCAAATGGGTAAGAATTGAAAGGAATTTTTGAAAGCATCTATTATTTCTTCATATTGCAAATGCAATATGTTGCCAAAACAGGATAATACCACATCAGCAAATTTTCGCAAGGTATCAATGATGGGAAAAACTTGAAAAAGCATTGTCCTTTTCAGCAATAGTTTGCAAAAGATGCGGGTTCTTTAGCAGCTTATTGCAGTCATTGCCTGCAAAATGACCCCCGTGAAAAGGCTCATGCTTTATGTGTAAAGCTTGAAGCCAATCATCTACTTTTGGCCATACATCTTTGAGAATCTTGAAAAGATGATTCACAACACCAAGTAGAAGATGCAACTTCATGGATGGAATAAGATCCATTACCAAAGAAGAATCGCCAAGAGAAAGAATAGGCTTGTGGATTACATTTCCAAACTTTTTGGCATTTTTGGTGTTTGAACCTGCTGCAGAGAAGGTACAGAATGAATCTTTCAAAAAGCCAAATGTTCTTGGAGTCCCACAGTTTGCAAGATTTGAGTTTTCAGCATTACACCATGTGCATGGATGGAAAGAAGAATGGGTCTGCAGGCCACATAAAATGTTAGCCAATTTCATATCACATGAGATGACAAGTTTCACATCCTGGATGTCAAGAAAAGAAAGAATGAGCCTTATATTTTTATAATTTTCTTGAACACCTTCAGCCACAGCCTCAAGAAGTTGTCTTTTAACACCAGTATCTTGATGTTTAGCATGTAAGCAATCGTTTACTGGGAGGTGAATAATCATGTGGTTACAATACGGAAACTCCAAGACAGGCTTTTAAAAACCCGCCACCCCCAAAAATTTAGCTATATGGTTTGAAAAAATCTTGAGTAACAGAAAAAGATCTTCAATTAATGAGTTCAGGCTTTTACAATGTGCTACCACATGATTTGAGTGAAGCTGTCTTCAAGATTTTTGCCGAGATCTTGAAATTTTTTAACTATGTAAGGCTCCAAAACTTTGATTGTGCTAACATTGTTGATTGTTTGTGCTAGCTTTCTGATACCATTGTTGGACAAGCCTGTATTTATTTGCACCTGAGCAAGATCTTTGGCTGGTTGATCCTTGAACAGCTGTTTTGTACTTGATGGTCCTAAAATACAACAAAGGTTATCATTTGTTATCCTAAATGAAAAGATAAGTTAAAATATTTTGTTACCAGGAGTTATAGGTAATGTTTGTCAACCCTTGGTTTGTGAAAGTCGAATGGTTCCATGAGGAGAGGTTTCCTTGTTTGTGGTTGTTGATGATGCAATATGCTCTGCAACTTTACCATCATTTACAGCTAAATAATTCATGTTCTCTCTAAATTTTGCAGTAGAGCATTGATGTGGTAGCCCCCTACCAATTAGGGTCAGACATTTTGAGCACCTTCTTTCTGATATTTTTTTCTTCTATTTTTGTAGTTTCGAGATGGTGTTTTTCTGTCAATTTCAAGCAGCCAATACAGCAAATTAAGCATTCACAAGGATTTCCTCTCGTGGGAATTTTAACATTTATCCTTTCAAACTGATAAAGCTGTGGCAGTTCAAATTGATGACTTTTATAACGTTTTCTCAAAGAAGTCCTGCAGGTTTCACAAATGCCTTGAGAAACTCTTGTGTCATTAAAATTGATTTGTTGGCTGTAGACAATTTGAATTTTTTCCTCCAAAAAAGTAGTGAGATGTCTGTTTGCTTTTTTAAGACATATTAGGCATACAACTTTTCAGATTTCATCATGATTTCTTGCCGGATTAGCCATTTTTGCAATTTTTTTTACAAGAGCCTTAAAAATGCTTCCTTCGTAGATTTTGCATCCGGAAAAAGTGCCTTTTCCCGGAATTTTTCATACTTTTCAGTAGTATAAAGTATCATGAAATCTAAAATGTTGAATAAATATAAAGTTATATTGTTGATAAATACTGTAATAATATAAAATTTTGGGCATGCTGTCATTTCACATATTTGTGAAATAAAGGAAGTTGTCAAAATTGATTTTCTTTCTCAGACGTAGGCAGATGATTTAATTTTTTACATTTTTACAATCCCATGGTCATAAGCTTTTACAGGTGTATCGCAGTTTTCTCAGGAACTGACTTAAGGGTCAACTCAGATTTTTGCTAATTGTGCTGTTTTAATGATGCAAAAACAAAATTAAAACTTTTTTAAAAACAATATTAATTTAATAAATACAAAAATAATCATTATATAAAACATTTAATCATTATCTAGCTTTAATTGTAATATTTTAAGAAACATATTAAAACAGTAACAAATAAAAAAAAATAAGAACTTGGTTTTGAAAGTTTTTAGAGGTTTTTCTTAAAATATTCTATATAAATATTATACTTATATATTATATAAATATTATAATAGTTTTGCAATATTTATTGAATAAAGAATGCAAATAATAATAAAGAATAATAAATAAATACTTTTTATGTGTGGGAAATATTAATTTTCAATGCTTGCTCTTGATGTTGAAATTGCAAAACACCGTACTGGGTTCAAAAATTAATTTTGAACAAAAGAAAAGCTAAATTAAAAATATATAAATAGTAAAATATATTTTTTTTTATTTACTATGACTCAAGCATCCATCAAATTGCTTTCAATATTCTATAAATTGTTAGTAATATTTATTAATAGTACAGTGCAGTTATATTTAACTTTACTTTTATGCATAACTTTATGTATGAAATTTTGAAAATTGTTAATTTAAGTTAAATAATTTTCAAAACTTATGTTTTTGTATTATATATTTAGGAGCTCGCTAGAAGCATGCGTGGAATATTGAATAAACTAACACCACAAAAATTTAAATCACTTCTTGACAAAATGAAGGAATTGAAAATTGATACTAAAGAAAAATTAGAAATTACAATTGATCTTATATTTGAGAAGGCAGTCAATGAGCCATTATTCAGTGAGACTTGTGCTAATTTATGTCATTGTTTAATTGATTGTGTATGTTATTTAGTTTTTGTTCATTAATTATTTCAAGTTTTAAAAATCTTTATTATGATTTTTTTGTGTGTGTTTTTCATTTTTTGCTGTACTCAGTATTTAAAAAAAATAGATTATAATAAATTATGGATTTAAAGTATCATAAAATATAAACTAAAGAAGATAATTAATTTTTTTTAAAACGTGAAAATATATTTTTAAATGAATTTTGCATCTTGGATAACTTACTAAGCCATAATTTTATACAAAAGAGTTATCAAATATAATAACAGAAATAGTCAATAAAAATCTTCTACTACTTATTGACAATGACAGGGATGTGGAGTCCCAAAAAAGACTTTTTTTTTGAGACTTTGAAAGTCTCAAAAACTTTTTTGTTTTTGGAGGAGCTCAAAAGTATACAAAAGTTTTTAAACTACTAATGGAAAAAAATTAAGGCTTATAGGTTATAGGAACAATCAATTTTTGAACTCGGAATTCTTAAGTATAATGGCAGCAAGGACTCCAGAGCTCTGTGCTTAAAATAATAAGTTCTAAGTTATTAAATGTCATTAAATTATTTCCTGTAGCAGATTATAAGTCAACCAACATGTTTAGAGCTTCTGGACAGAAGAGACTATGAAAAAATAAAGGTATTAAGCCAGAGTCCTTTTAAGACTTCGCATCCCTTTATTATTGTCACAATAATGAACATAATAAACACAATGCAAATGAGCTTCTGCACTTTTTAAAGTTTTGCTTTATTGGTTTTAATATATATATATATATATATATATATATATATATATATATATATATATATATATATATATATATATATATATATATATATATATATATATATATATATATATATATATATATATATATAAATATGTATATATATATATATGTATATATATATAAATATGTGTATATATATATGTATATATGTATATATATATATATATATATATATATATATATATATATATATATATATATATATATATATATATATATATAGGCTTGGTCGGGAAGCGGGAGCGATCGCTCTTGATTGCTGACCACGTAAATAATATTTAGTTGCGAAAAGCTGGCCAGATTTTTAGTCGTTTTGAGAACATTTTAAAAAGCAAAAAAAAAAAAAGCGACGAAGATTAATTGGACCGATGAGAGACAATTACAAAAAAAAAAAAAATTGGGCAAATAAAATATCTTTAAACGCAAAAAAACTTAAAGCTAAATAAATTTTATTTAGAACAAATATTTTCGAAACATCGCTCTTTTATAATTTTTTTTATAAAATTAGGCGATGTTTTTTATATAATGTAACAACTTACGATTGTTTAAAAGGGAAATAAATATTCTTTATTTAACTTAGTTTGCAAGTTTTAGTTTTACTTAAGCTAAATTATTTTATAAATAAAAAAGTTAATTTTTTTAATACCTATTTTATGTTTTGCGTAGTTTGAAAAGTTTAACATATTTGAAGCGATTCTTCTTAGTAAGATAAACAAATGAAATAATTAAATCATTGAATTACTACTATAGGAATTAAATTATCAAGATAGAAATCAACTAAAAAGGTTAAAAATACTTAATGACTAGGAAGCGAAACTGCTTCACAATATCGCTGATGATGTTTAGTGAGTGGGCTTTTTAATTTTAAGTAGTATTTAAAGCAGAAAAAAGTATAACGAGTTTTAAGAATGGCAACTTAAGCAAAAATAATTAGAGTAAGTAAACCAATATCTAGAAACTTTTCTTTATATCTAATTATTTGCTATATATATTTGTGTTCTGTCGTGACCTCAGGCGCAGTGCTTGTTTATCCGCGAGTTACTTTGTATGCGTTGTTTGTGTTTAGTAACCAGAAATTACTTATATGTTTGTTACATAATTAGTTTTATTAACTTTAACGATGAAGTTATCATTGAAAACGCAATTATTTTTGTAAGTTTTTGTTTAAATCATAAAAATTGCTTTAAAAGATACATTACGATAAAAAACAAATACACAAAATTACATTTACATAAAGAATACTATCTCTTTTAAAATAAAAAATAAGAATATACTAATAAAATCTATGATTTATAATAAACTTTTAAAATTTTAACAATTTAATCAATATATATTTAAAACATTTATTTATGTAAACAAATAATATATATTCTTAAAACAATGCTAGAAATCTCAAAACGTAACAAATCGTGAATAATACAGTTTCTAAAACATTTTAACAGAATACTCTAGAACTTTATTTCGCTTTGTCAGCGTATTTTTTGAACCAATAGAATTAGTTTGTTCGTTAATTTGGCGGGTTTTTAGTGTTCGCAAATATTCTTTTTATTCTTTTGCACAAAGATGTTTTGAGAACATTCAAGTTTTTTATGTTTCCATGTATGTCGTAAAACAAAAATTTTTTGTTTCGTACATAAACTTAAATGTTCTCAAAACGACTTAAATACCTGGCCAGTTTTACGCAACTAAATATAATTTCCGTGGTCAGTATTTGAGAGCGATCGCTCCCGCTTCCCGACCAAGCCTGTATATATATATATATATATATATATATATATATATATATATATATATATATATATATATATATATATATATATATATATATATATATATATATATATAAACATATATATGTTTATATATATGTTTGTATATATAAACATATATATGTTTATATATATGTTTATATATATAAACATATATATAAACATATTTATATATTATAATTTATAATTTTTAAAACATATTTATATATTATAATTTATATATAATCTTTGAAAGTCATTTTCTTGTTATGCATTATAATGAAATTAAAATTCAATAAAAACAGCTGCGTATAAACTTTTTTAAAAAAGTATGTATTTGTTTTTATTTTAATATATAATATTCGATATTTCCCTGATCTATTGTGATCAGCATCATCAGGTATAATAAATAAAAATTGCTACAAAGATAATCGTCACAATAAAAACAAACCATTAAAAAGAGTTTGAGCGAATACAAAATAGGATTAAATGTTGACGTCAGCTAATCTTATAAAAAATGGCCCCCAAGCTTTTGTTGTGACGTTATCACCATCATCTCTATTAAGAACATTTTTGGCACATCCCAACTTTTGTCTAACTTTACCTTTGTTTATTTCCGAATATGATTTTCTGGAGCAACTGATAAGGTTTAAATGCTCAGTAGCACCCGATCTGGCCCATTTTCCTTTTTTACTATTTTTTTGGTGCTCAGTACATTTTGATATAATTTTCTTTTTAGTTTCACCAATGTATATAGAGTTGCATGAACATTTTATTTGGTAGACACCTGGGTTTGTATTTTGGTAGAAGTTTTGTTTTATTGTTACAAAATATACTGTTTAAATTCGGAGTTGATATAAATATAACTTTTAAGTTTTGTTTTTTAAATTCTTTTCTAAGTTTAGTATCCATGGTAGCTTTATAAATGGTTGGTTGTCAGTTGGTTGATAATTTGTATTTTTTAAATCTATATTTATATAGTCTCTGGCAAAATTCGTTAAATTGTTCTTGTCGTGCCCGTTAAAATATTTTTATTAAAAAATCAATTTCTTGTTGAAGGTATTTTTATGATCATATTCTTTTTGCACGACATAAAAACCTTTTGAATACGCCAGTGATAATATTCGGATTGATATTTGAGTTTGGTTTAAGTAGAAGCACCATGCATTGTGTTCGTAATAAATATATCTAAAAAATTAAGTTGTTTTAGGAGGTTTTTAAGTTCAACATTATTTTATGTTAGGATTTTTAGTAGGTTTTCAAGTTCAACATGAATTTTATGGCAAGATTTTGTTTGTTTAGGATACTTAGAAATATTTGTTGTTGTTTTATTGAGTCAAAACGAGCATAACAATCTTCTACATATCTCATGAAAGTTTTTGGTTCACATGTATGAATAGTAGCTATATTAAGTGCTTTTCTTTCTATATTTTTTAGAAAAGCTTCCGCCATAACAACCATTATGGACAAACCTATAGGACCTGAATTAGGTATTATTCGGATTTTGTTTTCATATAAAAAATAACAAATACTCAACAAAAGTTTTATTAATTGGTGTATATCTACAAGCAAAAGTTTTGTTTGAGTCTTCAAGTTGTTGATGTCATTATTTAATATATTATATCTGGAATAGTTTCGTTAATAGGTATGGACGGATATAAATTAATTATATCAAATGAAACTTGAACTTCATTGGGATCTATTTTCCAATGTCTGGCTTCATTAACAAAATTATTTGAATTAATAAGTCTATTTTTGTTTAGTGTCGGTTGAATGATATTAACGAGGTATTTGGAGATTCCATATGGTGGTGTGTTGATTGTTGATACAACAAGACGCATTAGGTAATCTTTTTTTGGGTTTGTTTGCCTTAATCATTTCATATGTTCTAGGTGGTACGCAATCTGATGGATACATTTTAAAATACTTAGTTGTGTCTAACTTACCCTCTTTTCTTAGTTTACACAATTGTTTTTGAATTTCAGTAGTAAGTGTGGGTGTTGGGTCATAATCAATAATGCTGCTATTTTTAATTTGTTCTTCTAGTTTAAGATATGCATCCCTTTCGTATAGTAATGCAAAACCTGTGCCTTTATCAAAGGGATAAACCTTAATATCTGAATTTATCATTAATTTTCCTATCGAAATATGTTATTGTTTATCTTTTTTTTATTTATTTGTTATTTTAATTTTATTTTTTGTTTATTTATGTTTTTATTTTATATTGTTTTGTTAAATTATCTTTTTAATCTTAGTTTTAATAAGTTTGTCAAAATTTTAGAACATTTTGTCTTAGAGATTTTGCCTGTGTTGATTTATCCTGTATTTCAACTTTTGTTATAATATCCAACATATGTTATAATATAGGGATTTTCTTCTGTAATGGCACAAACTTTGGACCTAGATTGAGTAATTCAGTTGTTGTTTCATCCAAAATAATATTAGTTAAATTAAGTATAGCAGGCTTAACAACTTGATTCAAAGAGTCTATTCTAGAAGTTTTTTTTATACATGAAATATTTTGTTTGTAATTTATCAAATTTTTCTTTCATTTCCGTTTTTTTCTTAATATAATGGTAATATTTTAATTTGTTAGTTATACTATTAATTAATTCATAGTCGTTTAATCTTACTTTATTCTGAAGAGATATATTTCATTCATCAATTTCTTACTTGAGTATAATCTGTGTTTTGCTTTGTTACGAGCATTAACTAATACCTTTTTTCTGTATTCCTTCATTATGTTCTTTGCTTTTTGAATATATATTGGAGTTTTTATTCTAAACGATTTTGGAAACTTGACTTAACCAAAACTTATCAGTTAAACAGTTAACATGACCGAAAACCTTATCAGTTGCTCCAGAAAATCATATTCAGAAAATTCGAGAATCCCTAGAAATAAATTAAGGTAAAGTTAGACAAGAGTTGGGATGTCCTGAAAATGTTCCATATAGGAATGATGATGATAATGTCACAACAAAAGCTTGGGGGCCATTTTTTATTAGATTAGCTGACATCAACATTTAATCCTATTTTGTATTCGCTCAAACTCTTTTTAATGTTTTTAATGCTCATACTCATTTTAATCTTTTTTATTGTAACAATTATCTTTGTAGCGATTTTTATTTATTATACATGATGATGCTGATCACAATAGATCAGCAAAATATCAAATAATATATATTAAAATAAAAAATTATATATATTTTTTCAAAAACGTTTATATGCAGCCCTTTTTTTATTGAATTTTAATTATATATATATATATATATATATATATATATATATATATATATATATATATATATATATATATATATATATATATATATATATATATATGTATATATATATATATATATATACTAGCAGTAAGCAACCCGTAATACGGGTTGTTAGTAAATAAAATTAAAAAAAAAAAACCACGTATTGATAAGCCTAGAAACTACTTTAAAATAGAAAAGCCTAGAAAATGGCGTAAGTCGACTATTAACTACTACTATTAAATTTGCGTATTAATATTATCAGATATATCTTATGGCACATCGCCTAAAAAATTTATATTAAAAATGTACTTCTTAAGGTGGTAAAAATTAAAGTAATAATTTTCCAATGAAACCATGATTATTTTTAATTTTTTCTAAAATTTTGTTTCTTTTGATATGAAACATTTTTAATTTCATTAAAAACCATATGAAAGAAACTGAAAGCAGTTTTTTTTAGAAGTTATTACAAGTTTTCACAGGAAGACATGTAATTTCACGTCTTTATATGACCACGCAAAAAAAAAATGTTTTAACGATTTGACCACAGCATTTTTTTTTAATTTTAAAAACGCGCCACAAAAACTTACCTAAACTTATCTAAAAAAAAATTTTAAAAACATAATAAATATTAACGAAAGAGAAAATAAAAATAAATACTTAGTTGAAGCAAAAACACAATAAAATAAATACATATATATAACGCAACTAATACAAAACTCATCAAACTAAAATGCTTAGTCTATTTAATTTACGCATTAAAAAACCTTTTCATCTTTGTTTCAACATTTTTATATTTTTTATTTATTTAATATGCTCAAAAGTTAAATATTTCTCATAAAAAATACATAGTTATATAAATTAAAAAAATATATATTTTATTAATACTTTTTTTTTAAATTAATTAGAAGCGTTTTTTTTTTTACTCCATCAAAAGCGTTTCGATAATATAAAAGCATTTAAGATCAAACTTATTAAATACTAACGGTTTTCTAAAACTTTTTTTTTCAACAAAATTTTGTTTATCTTTTTAAATGCATTAACTTTAATCATTCTTATATTTAAATTCGTTAAAGAGACTTTCGTAGTCGTAGAATGTCATCGTTTATAAAAACAAAACAATTTTTTATAAATAAAATAAAAAAATATTTTATTGATACCTTTTTTTAAATTAACATATGCTTTTATTTTGACTCCTCCCTGCCTTTCTTTCCCTTTACCCCTTTCCTCAGTATTTTGCAGTACGTTTTTTTGAATACTTTCTACCTCCCTTTTACCTACCCTTTTAATCTACCTACACGATATTTAATAATATTTTTTTAAATTTAGTGTCTCTTTTCCTTTATAATTGACCCACTGCCCTCCCATCTCATATACACCATTTACCAGACCCCCTCTCCGCTCTGAGCTTACTTACTTTATGGACAATCCCTTTATGAGATGATACAAAACTTTTCCGTATAACTTACAAAGCTGTTACTAAAATGTAATCAATTATCATAATTCTTTTTATTTTTGCTACGAGCTTTTTTATCTATATATCTAAAAAGTAAAAATTTTGTTTGCTGCCTGAGCAAGTACTACTAGCGTGGGTAATCCACCAACTTTTTTCAGATAGGTATATCACTGCTCCTGCTCTCATTTACTTTAGCTGAAGCCTATATATATTGTTTATACAGTTGTTAATTTTTTTTCTTTAGTTTAAACAACCCAAGACAGGTACTTTCACTCCTAATGGCATAATTACATTTAAAAGGATTCTTTTAAATAAATGTCAAAAAGAGTTTGATAATGATAGTTGTGATGAGAAACTTTTAGAAGAAGATATAAGCAGAACATTTGATACTGTAAGTTAGATATATTTGCTTTTCTAATAGTTTTTTCACCATTACACTTGTAATAGTAGATGTGATAGTTAAAAAATTAGCAAAATGAAATTCGGAAGAAATGGATTGCAATCAAACTAATGCCATTATAATTTCTTTCTTGATTTGCTATAAAAATTCAAGAAATTAATTAAATTAAATTAAAGTAAAATGTAAAACATTAAAAAAATATATAAAACAAGTCATATATCACATAAGTATCTTTCTTTGAATAAATTTTTGTTATAATTTTTAATTTAGTTCAAATGTTTTATACTTGTTTTAGGCAATTTAAAATTTTTTTTAAATATTAGATATTTTCTTTGATCATTAATCTCTAGTCAAAAAAAGTCATAGATAGATATATTGAAATTTCAATCAAAATGAAAATCATAATATTGAGTTACATATTTAGAAGTTTTTAGGTAACCCTCTGGCCATAGCTGTGGTATTGAACCACGTCTATGGCCAGAGGGTTACCTAAAAACTTCCAAATGTGTACGAGGTAAAGGGATAAAACAGTGAGTACTTTTTTTATAAATATGTTAAAGGGTCTTGGTGGATCCCTAAAAATATTTTTTATTCAAAAATTTTTAAAAAGGGGTTTCCACATATTTTTTTCTAAAATATTGTTTTTGGAACACCTTAGTTTAAAGGGCATCAATCTAAACAAGTTTTTTTAAATCAATTAACAATATATTTTTAATTTTAAAAAGTATATTTAAAAAAAATATTTGTTTTTAAAATAATATAAAAAAGCACTAAAATAATAAAATTAAACAAAGGATTTACTGTTTATTCTTCTGAGTAGTGACATCCTTTTATACTATGAGTCCACTAAATTTGTAGCTAATTAAATGTTTTGTATGTAAAAAAAATTTTAATCTGGCAATTAAATTAAAACTGTTTATTTTAAATAGCCTCAGCTATTTAATCTTTATCTACAGCTTTTCTCTGTAGTGCTAACCTGTTGTTCTGAAAACTTTCCATAAAGTGGAAAAATTGAACCCCGTCTGAAACAAAATTCTAATTCTAAAAAAGTTTTAGAATATAAAAATTGGATAAATTAATTATGTATCTTTTTTTATATTTAATAACTTTAACTAAAATAAAGATTGTTTGAAATAAAACTCCCTTACTTGACATAAATTTCTAATATTAGACGTTCGCCAATAAATAAAGATACATAAGTCAATGTTTATCAAAAAAAAAAGATGTACAGCCCTGGGAATGTTAAAAAATAGTTCACAGATGCGATTATCTCAAAATTGTTGTAAATATTTTGTTTAGAATTGTTAATAATTTTTTTATTATAAATTATACTATATAATAATTAACCCCGTCTGAAAACAAAATCTGTCTAATCTTTACTCTACTTACATACGATGATATTAAGTATGATACTTGATAAGATAATAAATTTGATAAACTATTTTTAGTAAAACTAATTTTAACTTTAAGTTTTAATGATAGTGTTATTTGTTATAATTTGTGTTTTTTTTCTAACAATTCTGATTTTTTGAGTTCTTTATTGTTTTTATTATTGTGCAATCTTGTTGGGAGGCTGCTATCGATTTAAGGTTACTTGCATCAGTGAAAATCAAATTAAGTGTATAAGCTACGCTTCAATAAGGGTATATATGAAGATTATCATGAACTGTTAGATGCCATGCTCTTTTCATATTGGCTGCATTGTCAGTACATATATCCAGAATTTTCATTGGTCTGACTTAACACATCATTTTTAAAATATTTTTGCTGTTTTTGCCAGTATAACATTCTGCGTCTAAAAAATGTGTTCAAGTGTGTTTGATAAATCTACAAAAATTATTTCTTATTCTATTTTTATTTCTCGTTTATTTTTTATTATAAAAAATTTAATTTAGTTATTACTTTTAAGAATAAGTAATAGAACATGGTATCTGACTATTATGAGTTAAAATAATTCAAATGGATTATTTTAGCCCTTGCTTTATAAGCAGTAGATCCAGGTTTGAGGCTAGCTTTGAACATATTTTCGCATCATGTTAAGGAAAAAGGCATGAACTTCCTGGTTAAATGCACTTCCCTGGTGCTCTGTGACAAGACTGTTAGGTCTTCTTGGGGCACCTAAACCACAAAAAATAAATAAAAAAAAAGATTACCTGTTTAGATGCTGATCTAAAATACTGGTTCAAGTATTGTTACAGCAAAATTATTGATTTCTTCATTCCTTCAATCTGTAAATTATAGTAAACAATGATCTACTTAATAACTAAGTATTATTACTGAGAGAGAAATTTATTTATTTTTATATTATTATTTTGATTTACAATTGTTTTCATTTAAATTCTAATATTCACACATACAAGTTCTCAATTATTCAAATACTAAACTATATAAATTCTAAATTATACACATTGTTACATAAAGTTTAAAATTATCTTAAAGTTTGTGACCCCCTAACTTTGGCATAAATCAGTATTTATCTCAATCCATCCTATAAATTTAAATTTTGAATTTTTTTACCTGATATTGTTTTAACTATTGCATAAAATTGCTACACTAGAAGCAGTTATGGCAAGAACATTATGTTTTGTTGAGGTTTCATTATAAACCCTTTGAAGTAAGAATTTAGGCAACATATCATGTTTAAGTAATTTAAATGGAGTTGGCAATTTTGCAAGAAATTTTATCCACTTATTATTAAAAGTCTTAATGAACATTTAGTACCATAGGCGGCATGTGCTAAATCCATTTGTGATTTATCCTGTTTTAAAAATTTTGATTATAATTTTTAGTTGTTTTTTATTTTACTGTTTACTTATGTACTTCATTTATAGCTAGACCATTCAATGAATAACAATATAATAACTAAATTAAATATTTTCTTTTCTTTTTTATTGTTGTTTTTCCTGAGAAAATATAGGTCACAGTTTTGTTTTTCTAAAATGTAAATGGAACTCTTTTTGAAAAATGTATTTGTTTGAAGAAGTCCATTCCAATTCATTCTTATTCTGTTTACAATTTCTAGTTCTTGAAGTTGTAAGCCTACTTTTCCTTTTACAAGAATTCAGAGGACGAAAGATTGAATCCATTGAAGTTTAGTAAGTGCACATAGTGGTGTGCTTGGGTGCCTTTTTTTTGTTGTTGTTGTTGTTGCAAGTTTTAGACTGCAAAATTTGAATACAGCTTGTTGAGTTTTAAAACTTCCAGATTCTACAGGTGCCTTATTTAACAGTGTAGCAAAAAAATAAAATTCTTTCTGTATAGTAGGGTGTCCCAAAAAAAAAAAAAAAAAAAGCTCTCTACTGATTCCCATTCTATGTGACCTAAATAAGTACTAAAATAAATTTGACGGTTTTATTTTGACAGGAAGTGCTAGATGTAAAATCTGAGTTTTACTGTTTTATTGTTAAGCTAGCTTAACATCAATAAAAAACACATTTTAGAAAATTAAAACAAAACAATTAGATGGGTATAAATCATTTCCAATTGTTTTCTACTATTTAACTTGATAGATTATATTTATAAATATGAAAATACAAAAAAAATACATGAAAACTAATATTTATTAGCAAATTTAAGATTTTATTGCAATGAAACATTTCTCAAAAAATACAACTTTTTGAACAGTTCCCAAGCTCCTTTTTAGTCATAGTCTTGATCAAGTTTTTTCTAGACTTTTTAACTACAAAAAGTACATTTTGAAGGTGATCTTCATCTCTAGTAGCTGAAATAAAATCTTTAATGAGCTTAATGTTTCTTTCTGCACCATCATTTACAACAGATATGTTTTTGATCCATGCAATAAAATCTAGCAACTGAGGATGGTTAAAAACATCTATTTTATTAAGACTATTATTAAGCCATTCTTTATACTTGCTCTTGATTTTTTAAAATGTTTGAAGAGAAGGTAGCTTTGCTCGGAAATCAACTCAGGTAGCTCTGTGGTCTCTCCAATTTGTACATTTGATGGTTTACAACGCTGAAATTCATTTGGCTCTTCAAACTCAATCAGAGCTAACAGCATTCTTAGCTTTGTTTCAGAAGGAACTTCTTTATCCCCAAAGGAAAAAACACAGAATTGCGGAGTTAAGTACCATGTATGGCGTCCCATGCTGAGAAGCAAAGCATTTTCAATATTCTTACTAACTTTTCTCAATGCATAGGCTGTCTGGATAGCTTTCAAATCATTGTAGGGAGCCAGAAATCCTAAAAAACTTTTTAAAAACCATGTAACATAGCAAATTGCAATGAACAAACTTGCATCTATCAACTGCAGCATTTCTTTTTCTGTCAAGATATTACTGATATCTTTAGTCATTTAAAGAGTCAGGATGTAGATCACATCTGCTAAAAACCTTGCCTCATGGCAGGCGCCAGGTTGATGGAACTTAAAATCTTGTACTTCAACTCCAAGGAAGAAGGAGGCAAGCTTACAAACTATACCATAATCATTCCTTGAAAATACTATATCAGTAGTTGCATTAGTCAAAAATGTCTTAGCTTCCTGTGCAACAGTGCGAAGAACAGACCCAATCTTCAGATCATCTCTTTGCCAGTCCAATTTACATAAATTTTTCACTTCATTCACTTTCTTACAGATTTCAGGCCACTTGTTCTTTAGCTTAACATAAAGAGCTCTTCTTGGACCTTTAGTTTTCTCACCAGTAAGGGCAGCCATATAGTGAGATACATGTACTTCATATATGTGTCTCCTACACATTATCCACAAAATTGGTAATTTCAAAATATCTGTAAGAATTTGGACTGCTCCATTTACTCTGCCTGTATTGCTTGCAGTTGTATCACAGCATATACCAATGATCTGCTCTTTACATCCGTAATATTCTAAATGATTGTGCACTTGTTCTGCTTGGTCAACTCCCTTTGAAGAGGGACATTGAACAACACCTAAAAGATGGTCTTCCATGGTATCGTCATCCGGGGAACTCACTGAGACTGCAAGTCGCTCAATTTTTTGAATAATGTTAAGCCCAGTGGTAATTTGTTCCAACAGTTTGGTATCAAAATGAAGAATAAGTCGTCAGCCTTTAAAATGATTAGATATTGAAATTCACTCCGAGTCTCCTTCAAGTTCTACATATTTGAACTTTTTTCTATGAAGTGTGCTTCGTGAAAGCGGTATATCATTAATTTCTATACCTCCAGCTTTAAATACTTCACTTAAAATTGCCAGATGAGGTTGTACACCAACATTGAATCTTGTTGCTGGAATAGCAGTACATTCAATGAGCTTTTCAATATTCACTGCTAGATTATCTCCAGAATTGTACCTAGGTATCATTTTATAATACTTTTCTACCTATTTATATTTATATACTTTTCAATAAAACAGCTTTAGCTTGTGAAAATTACAAATATGTTATTAAAATAATACTATACCTGCGTTTCCGACCGTTACCCAGGAAATCATCTTCCTCGCTGATTTCAGAGTCCTCGTTTGACTTTTCTTCCTCACTACTGAATTGAATCTCTTCTGTCATGGAGTCATGTGACAACAAAACATCATTGATATCTTTTAAGTTTTTCTGTCTCTCTAATTCTTTCTCTCTCAACTTATCTAGCTTGTTCTTTCTCCTGTTTGCATCCAGTACTCTTCTACTGTAGTCTTCATCGACTTTTGTTTCCATATATCCTTTCTTATGTAACTTCTGGTCTTCATAAAAACTAAGAAATATTTAAATCTATAAGGCCATTTATAAATAAATTAATAATTGTTCTAGTTTTTCTTGGAAGATGACCAAACCATGTAAAGAGTTAAACATAAATATTTTAAAGGAAATGACATGCTATTACTTAAGTTACTTTTAATTGGAAAAAAAATCTCACTACTAAAAAAAGTGTTATTTAATGAACTTATTTTATATCTTCCAGCTTGGCATCATCTGTTCTCAATCTATCAGCAAGAATATCTTTTTTAAAATTCTTAGTCGAGATGTCAAAAAGCTGATAGGATTCTGTGAGAAAATCTTTCTCTAACTTTGATTGCTTATCAAGACTGCTGTTCCAGTTTAGAGAAGACAATTTAATCAATTTCTTGTATTTTAAATTAAGTTTAATGATTTTGGTCTTTATATTGTACCCACAAATCACAAATTTCTTGCCAAACCCAGCATTATCCCAAATTTTTTTAATCCTAGATACCAAACAAGAATTATCAGGATCTGTGCAAATACCATTTTCACAAACAAGATTCTTGGATTTCGATTTCAATTTGCAACCAACATTAGTAGAAGTGGGTTTGTATTTAACTTGTGACTCATGAAGGATAAATTGATAGTATCTAAGAATATCCATTAGATGGAAGCTGTCTCTGAGGTAACTCCCTCAGTGGGTACTTCAATAGGTAAATATACCTCAACCTTTCTGTATTTTTCCGTTTTTTCTTATTCTGTCCTATCATCTTCTTTTTTTTAGCTGTTCTACCCATCTTTATATAAATTTCGAAATAATCAGTTTTTTAACTAATTTTTTACTAAATGTTACACTTGCATCAAAAATCTATGAAGTCGTTATTCCCTCTCGTATAATATTTTATCTAAGTTTACCATTACGGCTTTTATAACCGTTTACACGAGAATTTCTTTGTGCACAAATTAGAATTCCGTCGTGCACAAATAATTCCATTTAGAAATTTTTTCCTTCAAAAAAAATTTCTAAATGGAGTTATTTGTGAACCAATCCATGGGGAATTATACCAACTAATAATATTGTCCAGAGGGAAAAATATCAATCGCTAACAATGTTCTTAGGGAATGATCCTATTCTTTAATAATATCCTATGTGAATTATTTGTGTACTAATTATTACATCATATTAAAACATATTGAAATATTAGATTGCGCTGTTTTTTAGTAAATACACATATGTGTACAAAACCATAAAACTCAGAATTTACATCTATCACTTCTAGTCATTAGAAAGTTAAAAAAAAGATTTTGGTAGCTATTTAGGACCTATAGAATGGGGTTCAGTGGAGAGCACATTGAAATTTTAAAAAAAGTGTGTTTTTGGGACACCCTACTGTATAGCATAGTTTTTGTAAGGTTGTTTTTGGTTTATTTACATATTAATTATATTAACCTATATTTGTTAGAATTTATACACCATTTACAATTTACACTAAATAAAATTTTTGAGACGAAAGTTTCAGTTTTTTGATCTCTATCATCTAAAATAAAAAATGTTACTAACTCGAAAAATTTAGTTCTTAAAATCAACCTGTGTTTAAAGTTTAATACATAAGTATGATAAGATAAAAGTTTTTTTTTATTTTTTTAACATTTAACAATTAACAATTACTTTTGATAGAAAAGTTTTGTTTATTTTTTGCTACTTTTTTTAAACATTTTTGTCTAAATTGTTGTAGCTGATATATAGGATATTACAAGGTATATTTAATAAAATGCATGCGTGTTTATTGGTTTAATGCCACTGTAGCTATTTGAAAGTTTAATATCTAAATTTTAAAAAGTAGTACCAAAAATAAAACCAATTAAAAACTTATTTTTAGAAGTGCTCAGTTTTTAGAGATACAACAAAAAAAAAAACATTTTCTTTTAGTTGCTGCTCTATTTAAGTTGTGCCATTAAATTCTCTATTTTTAACTACTTCAAAATCTTGATATTGTTTTATAGGAAGCAGAGTCAAAACTATGGAAAGCAGATTTAGACCAGCGTAAAATAATGAATCGTAGACGGATGCTTGGAAATATACGGTTTATAGGAGAGTTGTTTAAGCTTAAAGTAAGTTAAAGGTATTTTTTTTTTTAATTGTAAATGTACTACATTAAATCATAGTCATAATATTTAAATAGTCTGGAAATGCGGGCCATTTTATATAGATTTCGTATAAAAACTTGACTTTTTTGGGGTGACCAGACTGAGAGTGCATCAAATATTTTTAAATGACTTTTTGTGGCACAAGCCTTGCAAAATTTGAATGAATTCGATGCTATTGAGTTGCTATTTGTTGGAGACAGACCTCAATTTTAGTTCAAACATTAGACTACCTAATTTATTTTATAATAAATAAAGTGAAGAAAGAATATGTGTTTGTTTTGCGAGAAACGATGTGTATCAAATGGTTGTCACCTCAATGCCAAACACAAGGACAAGTTTACTGATAAACATTTAGTAGAGAATAAAAGAAAAAGAAAATTATTCTTTATCTTATTAGCTTTAAAAATTATTTAATCTAGATTGCAGAAAAGCTTGCTTCAGATAAATGGTAGTCTCCTATAAGCTGAATTTAAAACTTTAAAATCAAGTATAAATATTTCAAGTATTTCAAGAAGAAGTTATTACAGCTTAGTTCCTAGTGAAACTGATTCATTTGATGGAAATTCTGAAATTTTGTATCACTGTTTCTACAAAATATTTTCTGAAATAACAATTTCTTTTTAAAACTTAGCCAAATTTGTACTTTTCTTTCATGTTTTGGAGTAGCAAATCTTGTCTTTGTTAATCTGACTGGTATCTCTTTTATTAATGACATTATAATGTTTAAGCGTGTATTTCACTACATTACTAAACAAAACATTCTATTATGACTTATTGGGAATGTTTTTAGTACCTCTAATTTTACAATTTGTTTTAGTTCTAACATGTCTAAGTTGTAACTTGAGCAGTGTTTATCATATTTGCTTGCTGCTAAATATGCATGATCAACTTTATATACAAGTTAGTAGGTTTTACATTATAAAAGATAACTTGAAAGCTTTCAAGATTTAAAAAAGTCAAACTAAATTGATATATGAAGAACATCAATTAAAAAGCACCCTTTATTTTGAAACATGAACATTAAAGTGAAAGTGAGATAAACTTAACATCTTTACATATATATATTTTTTCCATATGTTTTAAGCTGAATAAATCATATTTAAATAAGACAGTAACAAGTTGTCTTATTTTAATGTGGCTGATTAGGTATAATGGAATAATTTAAAATGCCTTTTCAACAAGATAAATCATAGCTTAAACTTAGAATCGAGATTTGGAATAAAATTATGTAACTTCATTTAATACACTCTGTTTTTTTAATATAAAGTATATTTTCTATAATTTTATTTTAATACTTTGTACTTTTTTTTTTAATTAAATATTGTTTGATTTATGTATGCATTATATTAGTTAGTGATGCAATATTTGGTAGCAGACTTTTGCATCATCTTTATTGCATCAAGTATATTTGCTATTATATAAATTGCAATACAGCATAATAAAAACAAAAATTTACATGCAAGCTTTTGAATTTTAGTTAAAGAAGCTTTGATAAACTAGTTATTTTTAAAGTATTTATTAAAATCCTAATTTTTTTTTTACTGAATAAGTTTTTTACTTATAGATAATTATAGATATTTGTACATGCTCTACCCTAGATAAATATTTTTAATTTTTTAGAGTGTTTTCCAGTAATAAGTGCTTTTAAAACAACTAAAATGATAAAATTGTAATTGATTTTTTCTTGTTTCCAGAAAAGATATCAACATAATGTAAAGAGTGATATATAAATTATCAACTAATCTAACTAAGTAAACTTTATATAGAATATAGAGTTTATTAAGCTCTATTAGCCAACATTTTAAATAAATATACTCTGAATATATGATACTAAGCATTTATACCCATATACATCCATCAAGTTATGCAGTCGATGAAGTGTTTGCATCTACTACATATTTTTATATAACTTATAACTTAAATGCTTATATGATATAAGCTATATAGTTTGAATATGCATAATCATACCACTACAACCTCTGTCAAGTAACTACATTTATCAACAGTTAATGTCTTCATTTTATGCTATATTCATCTTTTTATTCAGAATACGAAATATATATGCAATCCAAAATAATAATTTTAAACTGAATAACCAAAACAAACACAGTTTGCTCCTGGCATTTCAATATTTATCCCAAGAATATATGCAACTTAACTATAGCGAAGTACAATGTTTACAATTTGATGCACTCTAAAGTAGGGTGAGCACTAGTATAGAGAGGAACTAAAGTGTTATAAAAAAACGGCCCGTGTTTCGAAACTAGTTAAATACTATGACAATGATTAAACAATGTGGTACATTAAGGTGGTTTTTTTTCAAAAACAAGTATGATTTCAAATAAGCATTTGATCTAAAAATAAATACCAAAAATAATAAATTTTAAACTACTTAATAAAATCAGATAAATGAGTATTATGTATTTAGTGTGATGTGCAATATTTTTAAACACTGTTTTTTATCCTTAGTAATAGGATATATGCTGTATTGATTAATAACAATTTTTATTTAATGCCTAAATAAAATTTGACATACAAATTGTTCCTGACATATTCAAGGCTTTTTTTTCTAGTTTAGCATGATTGTCTTCTCCATAACCTTGCTTTATATGGTGTATCTGAGAATGATTGATAAAGTTATTAAATTGTTTCTCTCTAATTGCTTTATTAAAGTCATTCTCAAAATCAATTATTCTATTTCATTTCTAGTAACTTTAGGGAAAGTTGTTCCTGGATTGTTTCCTATCTATATTAATGATCTTCCTGACAACCTTACTTCTAAAGTGGCTCTGTTTTTTATTTCTCTAATTTGTTAATGACTCAACTTTATACTCTTGTCTTTTAAAAAAAAAAATTCTTTTTGATCACTCAAAACAGGCAGCTGATCTTAAATCTGATCTCAAGCCTTGTTTTAAAGCGTTAAGATGCTGTCTGTTTTACACACGTGTAAATCAATTTTATGTATGCCTTTTCCGCAGCAATTTCCATTAAGCGAATTTTTATCATTTTTTAACTTTTAAATTAATCTATAAGCAGTAATATAAAAAAAGTAATTAATTTGTAAAAACCCACAATAACTTTTGAATGACGATTATGTTGTTACAAAAGTTTAAATGACAATTATTTTAGCATTATTTAAAAAATTAAAAAAAAAAACTTTATCATCTTGCAAGCACAACTTTTAAAAGCATTTAAAAAAATATTTATTTAAATTTCTATTTAGTAATAAAAAATGAATTAATAATAAAAAAAAAAGTTAAATTTTATTTTATTTTATATTATAATAATGTATTGTAATGATTGATTTTTTCGCTTGAAAAACATTAATACTTTAAGATCATAATAATATAATTTAATTCTAATAAAAAATGCATGATTAACTAATTTAATGTAAACATAATTTTATTCTGTTGAATAAAATATATATTATTTAATTTTGATTTAAAAAATATATAATTTAATTTGATTAAAAAAATATAAGTTTATTGAACTTAAAGTTAATGCTTGGGTTTAACTTAACTGTCAAGTTTGTTTAAAAATATTACTAATTATTGTTATATTTGTTATATAAAAATATTACTAAATATAGTTATATTTGAATTGTTTTTATGGTTTTCCTTCCTCAAATCAAAATGCATCAAAAGTTTTCACTAAATGTAGATTAAACTTATAACGCAAGGTAAAGCACTTTATAAATACTGCTCTTATTTTTATAACAATGAATTGAAAGATTTTCTTAATAGGGATTTTCTTAATGTTATTCATTTTAATATAAGAAGTTTAAAAAAAAACTTTGATACTTTTCATAGTAATATAGAAGAAACTTCTAATATTTTCAACATAATATGCATTACAGAGACATGGTGCAGTTCTGATGATGTTAAAAACTCAAATCTCCACCTTCCAGGTTTTAATTTAATTTCTTTAGCGCGTAAAAATAAAAAGCAAGGTGGTGGTATTCTTTTTTACGTGAATGAATACTTGCGGTTTATTAACAGGCCAGACTTAAGTATTTCTGACGGCGATAAAGAGGTTTTGAATTGAATTGAAGTATTGAAATTTTAACTAAAAATGCAAAAAATATAATTTTAAGTTGTTGTTATCGCTTACCAAATGGAGTAATTGAGGATTTTAATGCCTTTTTACATAATGATATAATTAAAAAAAGTTCACATGAAAAGAAATTAAACTACATAATTGGTGATTTTAATTTAAACTGTTTTGAATACCACACTAATAATAACATTAAAAAGTTTTACAATGACATTTTCAAAATTGGAGCGATACCGTTAATAAATAAGCCTACCAGAATATCATCAACATCAGCCTCTATATTAGATAATATAATTACAACTGACGTTTTTAACTTATCTTTAAAAAAAGGTATTATTAAAAGTGACGTCTCTGATCACTTTCCCATTTTTTTTCTCCATAAACACAAACATCAAAAAAATTCTACACCATAATAAACCTTTCATCAAACGTTTTTTTACGGAAGCGAATTGCTTTGCTTTTAAGGAACAATTATCTTTACTTCATTGGAAACATATAGATTCTAATGATGCTAATTTAGCTTATAATTCTTTTTTACAAACATTTTTTGAAATTTATGATATTAATTTTCCTAAACATAAAATACTAAAAAAAAATAAAGATTTCACGTCACCATGGATTACAAAAGATCTCAAAAAAAGTTCTAAAGTTAAGCAAAAGTTGTATATAAAGTATTTAAAAACGAGAACATTAGAAAGTAAAACAATTTATAAGAATTACGCTAAAAAATTTGAAATGCAAAGAAAAAATTTAAAAAAAAGATACTACATTAATTTACTAGAAAAATATAAAGATAATTCAAAGCAAACATGGCAAGTTTTAAGAGAAATTACAGGCAGTAAGAAATTGAAAGCTAGCTCTTTACCTAAAGCTATTAAAATTGATAATAAAATATTTGATGATCCGGGAGT